GACCCCCACTAGAGCGCGGGTTAAGGAACCCTCACTCCTCCCGCTCACCACCGTCATGCTCGGGACGATGGACGGGGGGGGGGGGGCGGGGCAGCGTAGGCCGTCGCCTAGTTTCTAAAGGAAAAGGAGATGGTTGCTGCAAGCCATGCGACAATTCAAAAGCAAAGACCTTGCCTGCCAGCGCCCAAAGGGAATGGAGTTCAAGGTTTGTTTGAAGGAATGAGCAAAGCAAGGCACAGCGGATGTGCCTCAACAATGTGCACGATACATTATGATAGTGATGTGTAAAATGTGCTTGTATTTCTCATCGCTTTAAGTGTCATAACTAAATTTCCAGCATTTTCAGTAATAACTACCACGTCATACGGCGTTAATAAGCCTACGGAATGCTAACGATGTTTAGCCGGTACAGACGGTCATGAGGCGGCACATCGGCGGGCTCGTGTCTCTTCAAGAGAGGAGGCCGCCGTAGACCAGATGGCCTGAGCCTGAGCATCCAGGTCCCCACTTAGAAAGAAACATACACATGCATACACACACACATCTATATCTATCTATTTATCTATATATATATTATATATATATATAAATATGTACCTCTGATATTGCTTCTTGTAAAGCAAATACAAGTAAAAACACTTATTTCAAATTTCGAATGTGAGCTGCAGAAGCTGTTGAGTTTAAACAAGATCATCTAAACTGATATATTCCACATATCACAGCTTGGCATGTATTTACCAGAGCAAAAAGGCCTCACTTACGTAACAAAAAAAAAAAATTACAACTTGATGCAGGGAAATCTGCCGTTTGGATAATGATCGGCGATTGCTGTGTTCGCAATCGACCGCCAGCGCTGCCGAGTTCCTTAATCGGAAGGTCATCCGCTGGAACTAACGATACGTCCGCGATATAAACAGTGCGAACAATATACGTATGATGTGAAAAGCATTTTGCGCTCACCCAATCTATTGGATCGTCCAGCGTGCTTTTGTTGATGAACCGATAGCGTAGCGGTTGACTTACGTGCCTGGGAAACCAGAGCTGCGGTTCCCTGCGGTGCCCGCCATTCCCGCTAGGATGACAGGCAGATGACTTCATATACCCTCATTAGCTAAGTGCGTCGTAAAGCTTCAAGGGCGACAACACATTTTTGTGGCACTTAAGATTTCAGGTGAGCGGCAGCTAATGGAAATAAATGCATCATAATGTTCGTCAAACTTCAAAATTCTGTACAATTTGACAAACGCAGTTAAAATTCGCGAGTTGACCAGAGAACACTTCTTTTAAGTAATATATTTCCAAGGACACTTTTTGTTCACGGTGGCTAAGTTCACGTAAAAGGCTTATTGCGTTGCCCCGACCGCTCGTTTTAGGTGCCGGTATTCGCATGTGTAGTCTAAGAAGATGTCGTTTACAGTGGGAGGAACGGTATCGTTCGAATACGCATGTGCCAGTGATCTATTTCAGTCCCGAAAGAACCGAACTGAGCGTGGCTGGGATGAATTTGGCACACAGTTCCTTTTAACATTTTTGTTTTTTTCATTATTGAGTAGGGCACTAAGCGTTTGATAATTTGGCGCACAGCATCCACAAACGTCACGATACCCATCAGCAAGCATACCCATCGTCTGTTGCCAAGTCAGCCCAAAGAGCAGGGAAATTTTGCGACAGGATCGCTTTGGTTGCGTCATTATGTGCTCTCCGTCATTTAACTTGTAGGTTTAGGGCGCGCCAGTCATCTTCGCTATTTGCGTCATGCCATTGTTCCGGTACTTTATGATCTTTGTTTCATGGGACCAAAAATGCTCCCGCGTGACATTTGACGGCTGTTTTGATAAATCTAAGGGGCCATCTATGCATTTCGTCAAGCGTGAGGCTCGGGAGGGTTGTTTTATGGAGCGTAACCGAAGCATAACAAGGAGCGAACGGGTTTGGGTAGCGTAGCGTTGCGCTCGGGGGAGGTGGCCAATCGTGTTAAAGACTTTTTGAAACATTTCCAAACCTTAAAGCCGGATATCGGCTTACCCTCCTGACAGGGAACATGCCCGAATTTGTTTCGAACCTCCAGCTGAGCTGGGGACCAGATGGACGCTGCCATTTTCGGACGCCATGCTTACCACAGCGCAACCAGTCGAGGGCGTTTTCATCCAGCGTAACCAGTGCACGATCAGGAAGGAAGAGGTATGAAATAGCTTAACATGCGTGACGTAGTTTATGTGCGGGCCCTCACGACGTTTACTGCGTTCAGCTTCCACTTACCCTAGTTTGCTGTGTACTTCAGATTTTGTACCAAATTGTGTCCACGCCCGGGTCCCTGTCCCTGCTCAACATAATCGACGTGAAACAGCTAGATTGTCCGCCGCACGTGTTATCTGCTGGCACTGCATTTTCCATGCGTCCTCTACCGAGACGGAGACGTCTCGGCTGTCGGGGTGCAGCACTGCACAGCTCTCTGGCGACCGAACTGCTGCGGGTTCTTGCGCCCCCGTGTAACTCACACCTGATACGACACCTCTTCCGATGCGGTGGCTGCTGCGGACTGGCGTACGTCTTCCCGACCGCGCTGCTGCTGTGGACCGGCGTACGTCTTCCCGGCCGCGCTGGTGCTGCGGACTGGCGTACGTCTTCCCGACCGCGCTGGTGCTGCGGACTGGCGTACGTCTTCCCGACCGCGCTGGTGCTGCGGACTGGCGTACGTCTTCCCGACCGCGCTGGTGCTGTGGACTGGCGTACGTCTTCCCGACCGCGCTGGTGCTGCGGACTGGCGTACGTCTTCCCGGCTGCGCTGGGTTTGAAGTGATCATGACCTCTATGCCTCGGAGTGAGTGCGGGTCAGGTAGGTAGTCTGCAATGATGATACTGCTCCCATGGTCTACATTTGGACGAGAAGTTGTTACAGCCGCCATCCAATTTTCAGATAGTTTTACTAAATGTCTGAATCCGAAACGGAATAACTTAGGGTCTTCGGTGTGAAATAAGACTGAAGGTTTAATATTGTAGTTGCTCGCACCGGCCAAGTAAGATATGCTCTCAAGTGTAAGTCGGTAAGTTGCCATTGTGCAGTGGTGCGAATAAAATGGCTTTTAAAATGACTTCAAGATGACCGTTCAGGGGGTCGGTAGACCCGCACCAAGCCGCGCGACCACGCATCACGCTTTCCGTGTGTCACGTGACCTTGTCGGCCGCCGCCGGTCGTCCGCGACGAAAAACGGCGCCCGCTCGGCACGTGACCTTGGTGGGCGGCCAATTAGCGCCGGCGGAGTGGTGACTCTGCCGCCGCCAGCACGGCCCTCAGCTCGGCACCCCACAACAGGCGGGCGTAGCCCGGCTGGCTCGCCTCAGCTGATGCGCGACCGTCGGTTCCGCCCGCCGCCGGGCGCGATGCCCGCTCCCCTCCCCTCCTCGAAGCTGATACATGGCCGTTAGTGCTGCCACGCGACTTCGCACCCCATCTCGGGCTGGATGACTGAGCCCGCTCCGCGGAGCTGATGTAAGGCCGTTAGTGTCCGCTTGTGAACGGGCCCACTCATCGGAGCTGATATAAGGCTGTTAGTGTCCGCTTGTGAACGGGCCCACTCATCGGAGCTGATGTAAGGCCGTTAATGTCCGCTTGTGAACGAGCCCACTCATCGGAGCTGATATAAGGCTGTTAGTGTCCGCTTGTGAACGGGCCCACTCATCGGAGCTGATGTAAGGCCGTTAATGTCCGCTTGTGACCGGGCCCACTCCTCGGAGCTGATGTGTGGCAGTTAGTGTCCGCTTGTGACCGGGCCCACTCCTCGGAGCTGATGTAAGGCCGTTAATATCCGCTTATGACCGGGCCCACTCATCGGAGCTGATGTAAGGCCGTTAATGTCCGCTTGTGACCGGGCCCACTCCTCGGAGCTGATGTGTGGCAGTTAGTGTCCGCTTGTGACCGGGCCCACTCCTCGGAGCTGATGTGTGGCAGTTAGTGTCCGCTTGTGGTCGCAGCCTCGCGATTGAGGGACGACGATCGATCATTGACGGCGATCATTGCGTTTAACGGCGATCATTGCGTTTAAGGATACGGCACTGGCATACAAACCCTCCATAGAACAAGCCCGTTTATACTGGAGATTGTACAGCTGCTTCATCCATTTACGAATCCCAACAACCCTGCTTTTTCGGCAGAAAGGTCGGTACAGTGCATATTCCAATGCGTCTTATTAGAAGCCATGGTTACAATCGGACATGGCATTGGCTAAGCGTTCTGCTTAAGGTAACAGCGGATATCATCTGCTAGCAAACCACGAATCAACGAATGGACCATAAATTAAATCGCACTGTTTAAAGTACACTGTTGCCAATTCTGACTGACTTTGGCCAGCGCGCAACATATGGGATTTCATGTCGAGAAGTCTAACGGTGACTTTAGTTGTGAGAGAGAAAGTTTTAGCCTCTATTGTATCATTACTTAAACCCACAGGATTTCCACAAACAAATATAAATCCACACAAATAAATCCACAGGCTTTCTGAGTCTTCGGATGTTGATACTGAGGTCACGTTCATGTTACATGTCTATGTCCCAATTATGTTATATGTTACATATCTGTTACATGTCCAAATGGACAAGGTATCAAAACAGAATGGTGCATTCTGCACATTGTGTCTCCTATGGTCTAAAATATACATGCATGAATTGCATCGCATAAGCCATGCCTAGGTGCACAGCACCGAGGCAGCATCAGACCTTCCCTGAATTTCCCGGAGCAGTGGAAGCTGAACCCATAAAGATACAAATAGCAGGGCCTAGGAGTATCCCCTTTTCCCGAGCTTCTCGTGAGAGCTCGGGAAAGATATTTTTCGTGAAAACTCAGTATGATTTCACCATGGCACGGAAAGACCTATTTGGAAGATATGGTTTTGCCACCCATTTTCTCTGGCATTTCTGCGCAACTGCTTGAACCGTCTTGCGAAAGCAACACATGTTGCCATCATGACACTGAGCCTCAAAACGGAGGCATAACACACGCGCTCTGAAGTTGCAATGATTTATTAACAAACTCGGAAGGTCAGTGGCGTACAACTGTACATCGTGATGGAAATGGTCTTCGGCTCGATGGATCTGGCGAGGTCGGCTCTCCTACAGAGCGGAGAACTTGGCGTAGGCGGCCGCCTGGGCGGCAGCGTTCGGGTCCTCGGGCGCCTTGGGCAGGGCGTCGCTCTGCGGCTGGAAGCCGTTTTCGTCGGCCACCCAGTTGACGGTGACCTGCACGTCCTGGCCGTTCTCGTCCTTGGCGGTGAAGCTGTAGGTGCCCTGCTGCACGCTGCCGACGTCCTCACCGATCTGCTTCTGCTGCCCGCTCACATCCTGCGCCGACGGGTCGGCCGTCTCGTAGCTGTACTGGAAGCTGCCATCCTCGTTAGTCGACGCGTCCATCCTGAGGATGCCGTAGTCGGCCAGCGTCTTCTCCTGGGGCCGGGCGGCCGCCACGGCCAGCAGCGCGACGAGAACCAGCTGAAGCAGACGAGACGAGGTCAGGTCGGGGCAGGTGAGAAGCTAGGTGGGCGCTGCGGGAGGAGCACTGGCGCCGGGCGTCAGTATGCTACGAGAGTCCTGGTCTGCTCTGGTGGGACAGGTCGAAGGCATGGGCCAGACGACCGCACCAGCGAACACAGCGCTGATCTGATGCCGACGCTGGTTTCCGCAGCCGTGTCGCCAATGTTCATGACGAGATTGAAGCCTTTGAGGATAAATACAAGAAGACAATGCGAATGAGGGTACGATTTTGTGATGAGTTACCGTGTGCTCAAGATCTCAGGATTGGTTTCTTGGGACTTTTGGGACTTGGGACAAGATCCATAGCTTTTAGGATGGCTTTGGGACTTAATACAAGAACAACGTCCATCTCGACTTCCTTTTAAAAGAGGTCGCTGAGAACACTTACGAGTACGTAATAACGAGCCGTATGACGAGAACGCATACCGGTATTAACTGTAGGCCGGGATTGCCGGACAAGGACACAATGCGATCATCAGGGTCTCAGAAACAGTTGCCTCACTGCGGCTACCCACTGGCAGCACGAGTAAAACCCCATGCGTGCCACAGGCACCGAGAGTCCAGCTGCTGGCGCTGGCCGGCCCCAGCGTGTGAGGACGAGCGAGGACCTCTCCAGTACTCACGTATTTCATGTTGGCTGTGTGTGGTGATCACCGGACTGATGCCCGCTGCTCGGCCGGCCGAGTTTTTATACCCGGCCGCACGATGCCCACCACTGGCTGGCTGATGTACCGCCGCCGGCGCTACCTCTCAAGGAAGGGGGGCTGGGGAGGCGGCGCAAGGACGCGTGGGCGCCGCTGCGGTCTTCAGCCGCCGCTGGGCACCAGCCACCAGCAGGCGGCCGCCAGGCGGGCCAGGCAGACGGCGTAGGCTCTCTTGAGGCGCGGCGTGCGGCAATCGTTTGCTCTGAACCAAAAACAGATTAGTTGTGCTGATCACTTGTTGCATTATAGAGCCAATAGCTCAGTGCCGTCTGGAGAGATCGAAGCCGAATTTGATATGCATGCAAGGAGCAAGAAATGGATTTGATGAAACAAGATGAGATCCACGAGAAGGACCTAAGCGCCCCTGTGGGCCTTTTGTGGAACGTAAACCATCACTGATAGCGGACCCTCTCTGAGACTGAGTATCTTAATTAACATTATACAGGGTCTGGCGTTGCCTGCATTTGTCTGTTTACAGTCTCTAGCTCGAATGAAATACAATAAGCCGTGATATTCACATTGCGGCTGCATTATATTTATTCCTTCTAATGAATGTGACGGTAGACTATTACATTTAATTAAAATTTGGGCCTACAGTCAAAAGTGTGCCGTGTTATAGACCATCATGAGCGTCATCGTAAACCCCCCTCTATCAATAAAATGATTGCGATCAAAAATATCGTGTCGTCGACTGAAACGGAGCTGAAAAACAAGCATGCAAATTTATACAGCAGCGGGAAAGTGAAAAGGGCCAAAATGCACATACCAAATGACCTTACCGCATAGTAAATAGCGATATGAGCCGCCTGCTGGCGGCCAACGGCGCCTGCACGGCCGAGTCTGCAAGGACATCTCAGTAAGGGAATGGCTCGTCACCGGGCGCTCTCGGCGGCGCTCCGCACTCTCCCTCTCCCCGCAGCTCGGTCACGGTCGGGGCGTACGGATGCGCCCGCAGACCGGCCAGGTCACTGTCCAGTCAGCACCGAAGACCGTGGTCCACGGTCGGACCCGGGTCCGCAGACTGGCCAGGTCACAGTCCAATCAGCACCGGAGACCTCGGGTCCAGGGTCGGACCCGGGCCCGCAGACTGGTCAGGTCACAGTCAAATCAGCACCGGAGACTGGTCCACGATCGGACCCGGGCCCGCAGACTGGCCAGGTCACTGTCCAATCAGCACCGAAGACCTCGGGTCCACGGTCGGACCTGGAGAATGCGGTCATGAGCCCAGCGCACAGCTAGGTCCAGAGGCTGGTCTAGAGCTAGTCAGCCATGGGACCGATGCAGAGATGCAGCCAGAAACTTGCCTGAGACCAGTTTAGTATGGGTATAGCCCTGACAAGGCTCTAACCTTGACCTGTCACAATTGCGGCACATACGGGATACCGGTACGGTAGCTACGTGGTTGAAACATCGACACCCTCAACCATTCTGGGTGGTACCTGCCACACATACACACACACACACAGTGTGTGTGTGTGTGTGTGTGTGTGTGTGTGTGTGTGTGTGTGTGTGTGTGTGTGTGTGTGTGTGTGTGTGTGTGTGTGTGTGTGTGTGTGTGTGTGTGTGCCCCCCTCTCTTCTTCTCTCTCTCTCTCTCCCTCTCTCCCTCTCTCTCTCTCTCTCTCTCTCTCTCTCTGTCTCTCTCTCTCTCTCTCTCTCTCTCTCTCTCTCTCTCTCTCTCTCTCTCTCTCTCTCTCTCTCATCTCTCTCTCTCTCTCTCTCTCTCTCTCTCTCTCTGTCTCTCTCTTTTTGGCGGCATGCAGGTTGAGACGGCCTGGGGCTGCATCGTCCCCTGCCATCGATCCGCGTTATGAAAAACGGCGAATCAGAGCGCGGCTCAACATGGACCTACAGGGGCGAATACAGCAGCGTCACACCACACCAGCTCCTATGCTAGCTCAACACACAGCACACGTTTCATTGGATGTAAGTGGCCTGCTGGGAGGGTGAGGATGGTGTATGGGGCACAGTGCCTCTCCAGGCGCATCAACGGGGGCTTTCGGACTGCGGTGACTAACTGCCCCGTCTCCTGGAGCGCTTCATCTTGCACGTGCTGTGCGGGGGCGGCTGCACCGCGAGCGCGTTATTGAAGCTGCACCCTGTACTGAGATCGACTGTTGATTATGCCCAGCGCTTCGACGGTTATCAGGACGGAGATGGCATCGGCTTGCACTTGCAGAGGTGGTAGATATTTGGCCGTAGCCACTTCCACTATCGTAGAAGAGAGCTGTGCCGGCAGTCTATCCCGCTCACGGCGTTGTCCTGAGGCTTTTAAAACAGAGATTCTCTTATGGTCCCAACAGACAACAACCACTGGTAGTAGGCAATGTCTATTGTGCTGTCGTGTTCACATTAGACAAGAGCCAATGCAAAACGGATTGCGCAGGATCATACCAAAGCACAAAAAGTGCCTCGTGCCATCTCAGGAGCGGTGTCCTAACATCCTGGCGCTTTGCTGTTCCTGGCAACAGCATACACGCATGCCTCGGTTGCAGCCTTTGCGACTAAACGAGGCTAAAACTTGGCTATCGATCAGTAATAAATTAAACATAATTATCATAGGAGTAGGAGAAGCCCATTCGTCACTTTTGCGACCGCTTCACTGACAATGAGCTTCTTTGAACTGTCTATCGTCATTAAAAAGAGAGGCTTAATACGTCGCTATTACCGAAATGGGCACACTGCAGCACAAGCTTTTCCTTGTCATTTATGTTGTGGGTTTGCACTCTGATGAGGTGCAGCATGTCATCAAACACCCACACTTCTGGGAATTAGTAGGTTTAGTACGTTTAGTGGGTTTAAAATTATGCTTATGCCCACCGCGCTCCTGCTTTCTCCATTCGCCACTGGCTCGACGCCTCACTCTCGAATGACAGCATGAGGCGGCGATTCTGTACCCAGTTTGTGACCTTTGTTAAGGAGATGGGCAAACACCATTTCTCCGCTTTGTTGACCTTGACTGGTGTTCCTTTCATATCGCGGCTCATGCCTGTCGTAAAGGCTACGCGCGGTAATTGTGAGCATATAGCCACCTTTTTCTGCTTTCAAAAAAGGTTGTTTGGAATTCTTAACATGCGCTTAGTTTGATTCATTCAGTAAGGTATGCAGTAAATGGGAGGGCTACAGGTAAATTACCACCCAAGCTGAGGGAAAATTTGGTAGATGACAAACAACGTATTTCTGATTTAGGGAAGGCGCAGAAAATGTGAAGCTTATATACATGTATTTGGAGAAAGTTGTTTGAACTGACTAATGTCTAGATTGTTCTTTCAAACGGCGTGCTCAAAAGATATGCCTAGATAAGGAACCAGCGACCGTAAATGTCGTTGAAAGAATGATGCATCTAGAAACCACGACCTGGTACCAGGCACCAAGGATGGGATGAAAAACAAGCTGGATCGTAGTGATCCTAAGTTTCATTTGGAGGTGGTTCGAAGCATCGGGGTGGTGGCATGACATGGAAAGCATCGGGCACCATGCCTGGGCGCATCCATGCTTTCCGCACAGGTTTATTATTTTCCTTGAGAGTTATTTAAAACGAAAGTTTCTCACATTTGCACGAATTAGTGCGTGTGGCAGAAGCATGTGCCGCCATTTTGGACACATACGGGCACCGCTAGGACGTCGAATGGAAAACGAACGAAACGGAAACTTAACTAGCCAGCAGGTAATCGATAAGACGGGTTCACTGCAAACGCTCCTCTTACAAGTCGGCAAATGTGGCACGAATCTGCAAAAAAGGCTTTCGTGGTTCACATCTTTTCAAGCCAATCACGCGGGTGCCATGACAACGGTCTACCTTTCGTGGAACATGGACCAATGACGCCATCCTGCATCGGAAGTCTTCCATCCCGAGGTGTCACGATGCATGATGTCATTCATGGCATAGACCTGGGGTGACTGAGGGATACTGAGGTGCTTCAACCGCGCAGTGAATCGCAAACGTGAGACGCATTTTATTAAGTCATCAAATCAGCTAAACGTTACTGAAGCTACCTTCCCCAATTGAGGTAAAACAGACGTGCACTGCGGATACTATGAGCGCTGATATAAACCATAACTAGAATTCGTGAAACATTTGAGATGCCCATAACATGCCAGCCTGCATGTTAGGTCAAAACAATTAGCCGATTTCGTTCTCGTTCATGATAAGTTTCTGTAAAAATCGTCGTTTCGTCCCGGTTTTATTCAAAATGGTCATCGCACGTGCCGAATATTTAGCCACAGCGGGTACCTCGAGAAGTGCGTCGGGTGAAAGTGAAACTCAACAGGGTTAGTAATTTCCCTCTTGCGGGTGCTACGGAGATGATCAAAGAATTGTTCTCTCACGGGGCGTATACATTCCCCCACGTAGGTGGCAGGGCGTGGGGTGCGGCTGACTTGATAAACTACGTTGTTGGTAGCACGGGCTATCTCGGAGCCGGACGTGCAGGGAATACGTATTGCTCGTTGATGGAACACTCTGGGTTGTGCATTTTAGTGAGGATGGAATGCTGTCGCGGGCATCATTCGCCTGTCCATTCTATTTTACAGGGCGGACTGCAGCTGCTCGCTAGCTGCTCCAACTTCCCACGAAGGTCAGCGGATGAACGTTCTGTCTTGTATGTTTCGTTTCGTTTGTTCGTTTGTTATTTTCGTTTTGTTGTCTCTGCCAGTGTTTGCTGAGTGCCGTGTCCCTGAGTGCTCTTTTCCCGAATTTTCTTTCAATGACATCCCTCTTTCTGAGTTGTTTCGTCCCCGGACTTTCCGGGTTGTCTTCAAAGTGAATTTGAAGCGAATGAGACACGACTGACTCGGTGAAGTTCACGCTCAGTGCGTGTGTTTTTGTGTGTGAGGCCAGTTGGAGCGTGCTGAAAGTGCAATGATATCCTGGAGCGTGTTTCTTTTAGGTTCGGTTTTGTACTCATGCATGGTATGCATGGTGAACCGTTCCAAAAGTGGGGACCATACACACCATGGTGACGAGGGAGCTGATGAGCCACCCCTGAGGTCTCCTTAAGTAGCTCGGTAATTATCA